TTTAGTACAAAACGGTTGATTAGATTCTAAGCATGAGGAAATTAAAAATGGTGCAGGATTTGGAAGGATCGGGCGTTTAGTTGCTAGAGTTGCTCTTCAAAGGAACGATGTTGAACTCGTCGCCGTTAACGATCCCTTCATTGGGCGTTTACCTTTCTTTTTCGGTCTTTTGATCTGTTTTGATGTGATGGTTTAGGAACCCTGAGGAGATCCCATGGGCCGAGGCCGGGGCTGAGTTCGTTGTTGAGTCAACTGGAGTGTTCACTGACAAGGACAAGGCTGCTGCTCACTTGAAGGTTTATTTTCTTCGTTATTTATTTTTACCGGATTTTCATTTTGTTTAATGGTATATGGAAATTGACTGGAATGTTTTTTGTTTTTCAGGGCGGTGCGAAAAAGGTTGTGATCTCTGCGCCAAGCAAAGATGCACCCATGTTTGTGATGGGTGTGAATGAGAAAGACTACAAACCTGAGCTCGACATTGTTTCCAATGCTAGCTGTACTACCAATTGTCTTGCTCCCCTTGCTAAGGTTATCCATGACCGATTTGGAATCGTTGAGGGTCTTATGACCACTGTTCATGCTATCACTGGTAATATTTTCGTTTTTCTTTACTCGTTTCAAAATGGATTAAGGCTCTCTTTTTAATAGAAAAGGTTCTTTTGGTTTACAGCAACACAAAAGACTGTTGATGGACCATCAATGAAAGACTGGAGAGGTGGTAGGGCTGCTTCCTTCAACATCATTCCTAGCAGCACCGGTGCTGCCAAGGTATATAGGAATATTCATACCTGATTTGATTTAGTTTATTTTTCAACCTAAATATATAGGATGCCACAATTTAAATTATGGGTGAGTAGCTTGACTCAACTCGAAAAAACTCTTTTTGATTTGAAAAAATTTGACTCGAATTGACTCAACTAGTAATTTTATAAATTTGAGTTGAGTTGGCTCAAATAACTTGTAATTTTTAATATTTAGTAAATTGGTTTTCAAGTTTGAGTAAAGCCCCCCAAAACTGTATGATATGTGTATATCGCATATAAAAAAATATGAAAAAATATATATGTATTCTATATGATTATAGAAATTGTTTGAATTAGAATCAAATGTTATCATAATATTAGAAATATTTACAATTAAATTTAAACAAAAACTCGAACTCAACTTGATTTGAAAAAAAGTTCAAATTAAGTTTGAGCTATAAAATAAGACTTATCAACTCGAATAACTCAAATTTTTGTGACTCGATTCGATCGAACGCTAATCCCTACTTTAAATAGTGGAATGAACCGAATTTCTGAAATAATGCAGTGGAAAAAATTATTTGCTCGAATAACGTAGTCGAAAGATTATTTTTGTGAAATATGGTGAATGTTACAGTAAACACTGAAGACGCATTGGAGTCCAAGCGACTTACCCAAACCCCTTGAAGACGCATTGGAGTCCAAGCGTCTCCTCAAAGACGCATGGCAATCCATGCGTCTTCCCCCTCACGGCTCAATATCCTTGACCCATACCATCCAATCTTCCTTGTGGCCCGCATGTATAGCAATAATATCTTCGTTGTGGCCCGCATGCTATTTTGAGAAAACGCTCCATTATTCACGTGGTACACTCCATTATTGCTATGCATGCGGGCCACAAGGAAGATTTATTGTTATGCATGTGGGCCACAAGAAAGATTGGATGGTATGAGTAAGGGATATTGTGTCGTGAGAGGGAAGATGCATGGATTGCCATGCGTCTTTTGAGAAGATGCTTGGACTCCAATGCGTCTTCAAGGGGTTTGGGTAAGTCGCTTGGACTCCAATGCGTCTTCGGTGTTTACTGTAATATTCACCCTATTTCATGAAATAATCTGTCGACTGCATTATTCGAGCAAATAATTTTTTCCACTGCATTATTTGAGAAATTCTGCCAACCAATTGAGTTGTGGAATTTTTGGTTTCTCATTTGCTTTTTATGTTGTGAATACGTAGGCTGTTGGAAAAGTTCTTCCTGCCCTCAATGGGAAACTAACTGGAATGTCCTTCCGAGTACCTACTGTCGATGTATCCGTTGTGGACCTCACTGTAAGGCTTGAGAAGTCTGCATCTTATGATGACATCAAAGCTGCTATCAAGTAAGTCTTATTATACGATTTGTGGACACCATTGCCTTCGTGTTTATATCAAGCAAGTCTTATTCTTACCCATAACCCGATGATGATTTCAGGGAAGAGAGTCCGAGGGCAAGCTCAAGGGAATTTTGGGTTACATTGAAGAAGATGTTGTCTCCACAGATTTCATTGGTGACAGCAGGCGAGTTAAAAAACGAGTCCCTTGTTTAATCTATACTAGTTCTAGTTGTTGCATATAAATTCCAAAAATTTACTGAAACTGAATGTTGATGCAGGTCGAGCATATTCGATGCCAAGGCCGGTATTGCTCTGAACGGGAACTTCGTGAAACTCGTTTCCTGGTACGACAATGAATGGGGTTACAGGTAAAAACATGCCTTCACCTTTTGAAAGGATCTATGGCCTTTTGCAATCCTGGTTATTTGACAAAGCTTGTCTTGTTTTTTGCAGTTCCCGTGTGATTGATTTGATTGTTCACATGGCATCCACCCAAGCATGTTGAAGTTTTTCAAGGCCAGTTGTGTTTCTGGTTTAAAAAGAGCTTGTTATTTGGAATAAAACCAAGAATTTTACCCCTTCTTGGCTGTGTTTTCTATTTCTGTGTGTTTTTGAAGGTTCAGAGGAACTATTTTACTGGTTTAATGTTATAAAGTAATTGGTGTTTATACATCAAATTAAATAAATTTTGTTATTTCTCCGTTTTCGCCTTTAATTGGTACCATCCACTTTCTAGTTGTTGGTTAAATGCAAAAAAACGAAGCGTCGCCTGAGAGATTCGAACTCTCGCGTGAAAATTCAATGCACTTTGCAGGCACACGCCTTAACCACTCGGGCAAATCGATTATTTGGATGCTGACATGAATAGGATTTAATATCGACTATTGATTGAATTGATTTAACCAAATCGATTTTTTTCAATGTTTTTAAAACCGGACAAGACATTGAACCGGTGAAGGTACTGCTTCAACCGCGATTGAACCGGATTTTATATAAAATAATTTTTTTAAATTTTACATAATATTCAAAATAATATTAATATATATGTAATACTTTTTTTAAAGTTTATAATATTAAAAGGTATAAAAATATCACAAGTCATAACATATACAAATTAAAAACCATAAAATCAAGTGAAATAAAATGATTCAAATCAACTACAACATAATATTTAAGGTAAAACATATTAAATAATAAATATAATTATAATAATAAAAAAATTGGGGCTTAAAAAATCATAATAAATGATGTCATTTGATTTAATTTTTTTAAAAAAAAATAATCTCACATGACTAAGAAACATATAAGAGCATCCCAAAAGCTTTAAAGAGTAAAAATATGAGAACAAAACAATCCCACATGAATAAGAAACATAGAAGAGCATCTTAACTTACTTCTATAAATAATAGAAGTAATTTGGCATTCAAAATCATGGAGTCTTTTGGTGAGCACATAGCAAACTATTCTTTCGCTTCAATTGAGCTCAAATTTTAGGCTTCAATCGAACTTCTAATTTTTTTTGAGTTCGAGCCTTTTCGAGTTCAAGTTTTAATATTATATTTCGAGTTCGAGTTGAACTTGATAATTTTTAACTCGTGAGTTTTTGAGTTGAGTTTACTTTTAAAGTTTTTGAGTTCGAGTCGAGCTTAGCAATACTCGAATTTAACTCGGCTCGTTGAACAAACGACGTCGTTTGGTTTAATTTTTTTTTAAAAGAAAAAAGTGAACCGGCGGTTCAAACTGATTTTCAGCAGATTCTCCCCGATTTTATCGGTTTTTAACTGATTCTATCGGTTTTCAGCCGGTTCATTATCATTCTGATATTTTGACCGAACATACCACTGATTCACGATTAAACCGGTTGAACCGACCGATCCGATCCATTTTGATAATTATGATTTTTTTTACTAATTGAATCATTTCATTTGATATGGCGAGAACAGTACGCTTTCGTTAAAGTCACTTCCACTGCCGAACCCTTTCCTTGTCAAGACAGAGTTAGGCCCAACAGACACGGTAAGCTCCTCTGTATACATCTCCCGCAACACCCTAAGTAATTGGTTGCGAATATCTTCCCAAAACTCGTGTGTTTTTTTTAATCGAGTAAAATATGTTGCATTTTATTCTTTTAGTTTATTTTTGGGCAAATTTGTATTCTTTTAATTTAACATTTATGACTGAAATCGAGAAAACCCAAATCTTAATTTTGATTAGAACCCAAAATTTTTGAAAACGATTTTTGATTTTCTATATTTACTTTCAGTTTGACTTCCAAGCAAATTCTTACCTTATTATTATGTATGTTGGTTAGTAAGATTTGTCACTTTAATTAAATGGTTGTCTCTTGTTCCATATGTAATGGGTAAGAGGTAAGATATTAGTTTGCTCTTAATATTAGGTTTTAGGTTGAGAGAGAGACCTCTAAATTATGAAATGTCCGGTATTCGATCTCACGATCTTAAAGTTAAGAATATTATGTTCTACCAACTAAACTGGATGATCATTTCGTCCCGTCTTTTTTTGTTCGACAGAAATTTATTTGTGTGCAGTCATCCCGAGTAAATAATATGTATGGAAGGTGTTTGATGGAATGCCTAGGCCAATATGGAATTCTATTTTTTTTTTTGTTCTGCCCTTCTAAATTTCCGTTGTGGGAGTTAGATAAAGGGAGAAAAACACGTCCTTTTTTTACAATTAATATTATTTTATCATAATTAAGTGTTATTATTCTTTAAGTTAATTTATGCAAATGTAATTTCATGTCATCAAACTTGCTCACATGTTTGAGACATCATGGCTGCCAGCATATATGGGTTGGTAGAGTAACTAGCTATTGCTTAAGTGAGAATTTTTCTATAATTTGAGGGCATATTGTTATTTTGCAGTTATGTATTATCGATAAGGTAAATAGGGAGGCTAATGCCTTTATTCATTTGGAGATGCAGTTTAAAGAACCCGAGTGAATTTTATTTTGAGGGCAGTTCTCCATGATATACCCTTTACAGAACTGCCTTAGAAGTACTCGGTTCCTTGTCAAACCATCAGTATTATGTTCCCTTTTCCGTGCTTACTCTGAAAGTTCCACTCTTGCTCTGCCTGTGGAATCTTCTCACTTCACTGGATCAAGTGAAGTTGTAGGACAATGTTACATTGACATTGTGGTAAGTAAAGTTCAAGCTGGGAGCAGTGTGAATGCAATTTTCGAGTCTCTATCGAATAATCGAGAATGTAACTCTATACAGCTTTCCCATGACCTTATTGATATATTGTTGCATCGGTTCAAGGATGACTGGAAATCTGCATTGGGTGCCTTTAAATGGGCAGCATCACGCCCAGGCTATAATCACTCTCGCCAGGCATATGATATGATGGTTGACATCCTTGGTAAAACGAAACAAATGGATCGAATGAAAGAGTTCTTGGAGGAAATGCGTCAAGGTTACCTCGTTACGCTTAACACGATAGCCAAGGTTATGAGAAGGTTTGCGGGGGCAGGGAAATAGGAAAATGCTGTGAGGATATTTGATGAATTGGAAACTTTTGAATTGGAGAAGAACACAGAGTCAATGAACTTGCTGCTTGACACCCTTTGCAAAGAGAAATATGTTGAAGAAGCACGTGATATTTTCTTGCTGCTCAAATCATACATTGCACCTGATGCTGACACATTTAATATTTTCATTCATGGCTGGTGCAAAATCAATCGCGTTGAAGAGGCACATTGGACAATTCAAGAGATGAGAGGACATGGTTGTCACCCGTGTGTCATTAGCTACTCAACTATCATCCAGTTCTATTGTTTCCGAAACAACTTTCAAAAAGTTTATGAACTCCTTGATGAAATGGCTGTCCAAGGTTGTCCTCCCAATGTTGTTACTTTCACTACAGTCATGAGCTCACTATCAAGGGCAGAGAGGTTCGAAGAAGCTCTGCAACTTGTTTTGAGACTGAAAACTGCTGGGTGTAGACCTGATACACTTTTTTACAACTGCTTGCTCCACACACTGGGTCGAGCAGGAAAACTGAAAGACGCAATTAATGTTTTCGAGGTAGAGATGCCAAAGACTGGTGTTGTCCCAAATACATCAACGTATAATTGCATGATCGCTATGCTTTGCCATCATGGTCAACAACAGAAGGCCCTATCTCTTCTTCAAAACATGGAGAATTTGACAATTTGCAAGCCTGAAGTTCAGACATATTACCCCTTGCTGAAGTCATGCTTTAAAACTGGGAAGATAGATACTCTGTTGAGCGAACTATTGAATGACATGGTTAATAAGCATCATCTAAGTCTTAATATTTCTGCTTACTCACTTTTGATTCATGGACTTTGTAGAGCAAACAGATGTGAGTGGGCTTACAACCTGTTTGAAGAGATGATTAGCAAAGACATAACACCATATCATCGGACTTGCCGTTTACTTTTAGATGAAGTCAAAGCGAAGAGTATGTATGATGCAGCTGAGAAAATTGAAGGTTTCATGAAGAAATTATGAACTTCTCCAAGCGAGCATTTATTCCTATCTCACCATGAAATATTCTCTTTAACGGCACCCAGACATAGACTTACAACTGTCTGTATTTGACGATGAAATGTGACATAAGCCTTTGTGGTTTTATTTGATAATTTTTTGGTACATTTTAATATGACATATTATGTTACTTTATTTTAACAGAATATAACCAAAAAGCGAAAGAATTGAAAGAAGAAAAATCAGCTTCAACTAGATTGTACCGCACACATGCATCTATCCTGAGATGGTGTTTATAGGTATATCTGAATGTTTTCACATGTTCATGCTCAACTAGATTTGTTTGTAGGTATATTTTGTCTTTCTTATTAGAATTTGTTTCTGGACCCGTCTTACTTATCTGGGGAAGTTGCTGTTCAGATTTACTGTTTTACTCGAGTAATGGCAGGGTGACACAGGCATTTAGGAGTCGAGTACCGATTGCTTCATTGTTTTCAGCAGAACTAATAGAGTTATCTTTTTAATCTTTTCTTTTCTTTTTTCAGTCGAAATCCGAGTGTTGTTTCTCTTTATCCGTGTATGTTCATGAAAGCTATGGCTTTATTTGAACTGAATATCTCTACATATTTTTAGCATTTACAACATGGACTTTATACGTAAAATAGATGATGTAATGTCAAAACAATCATATGGGGTCAATCTGCATATGAATTACCCATTGCTTATCTAGCTTTCTATTTTCAAGGTAACAAGCAATAGTAAGACAGCTCAGCAACTCTGTATACCTCATATTACCAGGTATGCAGCTGATTCCATATTACCATATGGTGTTATAAATTTTGATATCGTGTAATTATGTTAGAAAATATTTATGTTTTTAGCAATTGAGAAGTGCAAAATGTAGGGCTGATATGGTCATCAACTTAGGTCTCACAGTTAAGGGAATCATTTTTGTGTATTGTGATTTGTAAGCTTAGATCTCATATGGCTTGCATTCTCTTTCCTTGTCTCCTAGTCCTGGCTGGTAAATTTGACTATCTGGGAAACAATGAGGAGGCAGCATCACATGATGTTCGTCTGAATCTGTTCATTAAGTACTAATAAAGTAAACCTTTCTTCTGAAGATCATAACCTCGTGATCCAATGCTGCAATCACTACATACAATATACTATAATAAAGAATCCTCCTCTTGGCCTTGTAGGGTGCAGAGTTTCACATCAACTCGATCAGAGATGGACCCAGCACTTTTTGGAAATTTGAATTTTTCATATAATTTAAGTATTTCTTATATATTTTCTTTTGATGATCTAATTTTGCACTCTATCCCTAATCCCAATGGAATTCATTTCCCAAGAGAAGTGAGTGAACTACTCAGTGAGGTTTCGAGTTTCAGGAGGTAGTGATCGATGTTATACTATACTGAATAATGGTAAGATGGTTTGGCCCGAGTTAAGTTATAATTTGGTTCTTGATTTTTTTTCCATTTATTTTAGATAATATACTCTTATATGCATATGAAATATAAATATTAAGAAAATGAAAAAAATCCAAAAATATATATTTTAATTAAATTTTGATTGCAAAATGTGAATTAGAGGTCACCTCCGGGATCCTTGGATGGCCACAAGGACATAAAGAAAGTAAAGTGATAAAGAAATGATATCACAAGACTACCAAAGGACACTGCTACGCAGTAAAAACACTACGTTGACCTAATAATTTTACCTTTTTTAAATGCATAAAAATACATATAAATCTTTTAAATGATTTTGGTATATTAATAAGTATATAAATTTGAGTTTTATTCATAATAAAAAAATTATGAAAAAATATTTAATATACAATTTACATAAATTTTAATCACGTCTATTTTAATATTAAATTCTAAAGTTTAATTTTTTATTTTTAAATTATAAAATCCTAAATAAGATAAATAATATTAAAAAATTATAATAGTATAAATTAAAGTTACAATGTTTATCAGATCGGTTTTTTTCAGTATACTAAAATGAATATATAAAAAATATTAATAATAGAATCCTTGTTTGAGCAATTATGTCCGCATGATGTATATGTGTTGCCAATGATTAAGAAAAATTGTGAATATATATTATCTTGTAATTACCTCAAAAAATTAAAAAATATATTAATAACAATAATATTCAAAAATATTATTTGATGTACATCTATAAAATTTATTTTCCACAAGTTATATATGTTAATGTTAAAATTTAAAAGATCAAACTCTAAATATTAAATCTCAAATTCTAAATGAAATCTTTAAAAATAATTAAAAATTATATATTAAATAATATTTTGAGTATTAAATGTGTGTGATATTGTAACATCTTTTTCTGCAACAACTCACCCCATGATTTTATAAGGTACGTACTTAAGAATGGCATTTAAAGATATTGTCAAGGTTTTAAATAACGGTATGTTATTACGATAGTACCTGCGATTTCATGGTAGTGTTATCTTTCGTTACACCCACTAACATGTAATAGCGCCTAATAATAATTGTTATGGCTATAATAGCATGTGTTATGACCATAATTACAGTAAAAATAAAAATAAAAAATACGGTTGTGACTGCGATTTGAAACCTGTTACAAAATTGAGTATACTTTGGTTGGCAATATTAAGGACCACAGCAGCTTTTATTTATAAACCAACCAATCAGCTACCAAATACTTTAATGCTCTCAAAGCTATCCCACTTTCACATCTTACTTTTTCCTTTTTCTAACCAATTATGAGTTAATCCTTATAAAATAATTAAGTAAAAATAAAATTTTAAAAATTAGAAAATAATTATTAAAAATCAATATAGGATGATTATTTTTTAATAGTTTAATAAATTTAACGATAATTTTAGAATTTATAAAATTTTAATGATTTTTTCATTTAATTCATATGCAAGGGTTACTTTTCTTAACTCCAAAATTTCATAATATGTCTTGATATTTAAGACTTATAAAACAAGCAAAACTTAATATAATGATCATAAAATAAGATTTAAGGAATCTATAAAATCTAACCTCGATGGGTATAAATATAAATCGTCAAGTGTCTTGCATGATTTTATGATTGTAATTCATGACATGATTACTCTCTTCTATCTTAGGCTGTCACTGGGCTTTCACGGGCGAGACGAGGGGAATCTTTTCTAAATCTAATCCATTTTTCCAGCACTCGCTTATAGAAATAATAAACGAGAATCTGTGGCCGATGCGGTATTTTCTCAGCTTTGTTTTCATCTGCGTACTTAGTAGCTTAGCCTTTCCTTGTTTGATCTATAAGAAAATCCATCAAGCACACAAACTTTCCTTCCATGTTTATCGTAGTAATTCTCATTATGATTCTCTCTAGTTTAACTGTTTTTATGAATTTTAGTGATTTCAAAACTCTGCAATCTTCTTAACTCTGTTGTGTATTCGCTGAAATCTCGTGGGATCTGATAATTTTTTTTAGAGATTCTTTTGTTAAGATGCCGCCATCTTACTTCCCTCTGCGCTGGGAAAGCACCGGGGACCAATGGTGGTACGCGTCGCCTATTGATTGGGCAGCAGCAAACGGCCTTTACGACTTGGTCATCGAGCTCCTCCATCTCGACCCCAATCTCCTCATCAAACTCACTTCGCTCCGCCGTATCCGTCGCCTCAAAACGGTGTGGGACGACGAAGCTCAATTCGACGATGTCGCCATATGCTGTTCTTTAGTCTCCAAGAGGCTTCTTCATGAGTGCGAGTCCAAGAATGGCACCAATTCCTTGATAAGAGCCGGGTATGGAGGCTGGCTTTTGTACACCGCCGCCTCGGCCGGAGACATGGATTTCGTCAAGCAACTGTTGGCGAGAGACCCTTTTCTCGTGTTCGGAGAAGGAGAGTACGGGGTCACCGATATATTTTATGCGGCGGCCCGGAGTAAAAACGCCGAGCTTTTCACGATGCTGCTAGATTTTGCAGTGTCGTCTGGGATGAAGAGGATGAATCGAGTGAAACTCGGTCGGTTTTTAAGTGGGAAATGATGAACAGAGCGGCTCAGGCGGCGGCTAGAGGTGGAAGTACGGATATTTTAAGGAAAATTCTCGGAGATTTCGATGATGTTTTGGCCTATAGAGATGTGCAGGGTTCTACTGTCTTGCATACTGCTTCCGGGAGAGGGCAGGTTGAGGTAATGACACAAGAACGATTCTGTTATAATGAAAGCACGATAATAATAAATGTAAAACGATAGTAAAATAATGTACGAATGTCTCGGATGCGAAATCGTGTTAGCTGGTACATGTTCATATATAATTTTCTTGCTTTCATTACAGGTAGTGAAGTATCTCGTGGCATCGTTTGAGATCATAACCTCTACAGATAATCAAGGGAATAATGCCCTGCATACGGCAGCTTATCTCGGTTATTTAAGTGTTGTCGAGTTTCTTCTTCGAGCGTCTCCGAGTTTGGCCTCGGTGAAGAATGATTGTGGGAATACTTTTCTTCATGTGGCTGTGGCCGGTTTTAGAACTCCGGGGTTTCGAAGAATAGCCCGGTAGATTGAGTTGATGAAACGATTAGTATGTAGTGAGGATTTCGTCATTCGAGATATCATCAATGTGAGGAACTCGGATGGGAAAACTGCTTTGCATATGGCTGTAACCGATAATGTCCAGTCTAGTCTGGTTGAACTGCTTGTGTCCATGCCGTGTATCGACCTGAATGTCCGCGATGCCGACGGGTTGACCCCGTTAGATCTCCTCAAGAGGAGGCCTAAATCCGCATCGTCGAGCTCCATGAATCACACTGCGAGACGCCTAAAGAATCTTCTCCATTGGCCTAGGAAGGAGAGAAAAACTGCAAGTGCGGAATCGGTGGACGACGATGATCCTCTGGAGGTCATGAGTACTTGTAGAAACTGGTCGGACAGTCACATTCCGCTTCGCGAAAAGTACACAAAATCGTCATCTCTACCGAACAACAAAAGGACGCTTTCGCTCCGGAGTGATCTTCCATGCCAATCCAGCAGGAAGAAATTCACTGCAGGGCTAACGCATGGCGTCATCCATGCAGCACCATATTTAGCTGCTCCTTTAAGATCACCTACAAGCCCTTTCTCTGCATCTTCGACAGCCTCACCTATATCGGTGGATGAACAAAAGCACGTCCACGATGCTCGACTTAAACAGTTGTTTGATGGTAAAGCGACACAAATGAGTCCGAAGCAGAATTCAGTCAATAAGAGGCTGATGAACCAGTATTTCTGCTTCGGAGCACAAGGCCTAGCCGCCGTCTTGTTCGATGGTAAAGCGACACAAATGAGTCCGAAGCAGAATTCAGTCAATAAGAGGCTGATGAACCAGTATTTCTGCTTCGAAGCACAAGGCCTAGCCGCCGTCAAAGATAACCGAAGCCACACAGGGGTGGATCGCAGCATTAAGAGCGCCACTTCTTTAGTCGCGTGACGATAAAATATATCCATAAACATCCCAAGTTGTTTAATTTGTCTAAATTCAATAAAAATAATCCTTTCAACATATTAAAAAGTAACCATTTAATCTCAAAACCTGTCAAATATTCAGATTTCAGTTACTAAAGAGAAATGGCAGCTTAAGAAAGCAACTGTCCACGTTATCTTGCTTGAAAATTCAAGCTTACTGTTAATAGCTTACCGGATAAAACTAAGACATGTCGCTTATATACAGGCTACTTCAGCGAGTTCCCATTATATTCTTCTCTTTGATCTTAAAGACCGTATACAGATTTGTTCTGAGGTTGTCCGTTTTCAATTCCGTTAAAGGAAAAGAACTGAAAATATGGTGTACGAAAACAAAAACTCGGAAAGCGACCATGAGAAGGCCATCAACGAGTGGCTTCCCATCACATCTAACAGGGATGCTAAATGGTGGTATTCTCCATGGCGGAGCTGGTGTTCTTAGCCTTCCATATGCCATGGCACAGTTCGGATGGTATGGTGTTTCTTTCCACAATGTTAAACGAGTTTCTGGAAAAATGGATCAATCCATTTTACATTAGTATTTCGTCGATTAGCTAGAGACTAAAGTAGATGTTGAACTTTGATGAATTGCAGGGGTCCAGGGTTACTATAATGATTTAATCATGGCTAGTGACATTGTACACCCTTTGGCAAATGGTGGAAATGCACGAGATGACACCCGGAAATGCACGAGATGATACCCGGTAAGCGTTTTGATAGGTACCATGAGCTAGGTCAGTATGCGTTCGGTGAAAAGCTCGGTCTATGGATCATCATACCCCAGCAATTAACAGTAGACGTCGGTTCCGAAATCGTCTACAATCGTTGAAAAAGTTCCACGATCTGGTTTGTCCCAACTGCCAGAAAATCAGGCAAACATATTTCATCATGATTTTCGCTTGAGTCCACTTTTTTCTTTCCCATCTCCCGAACTTCAACTCCATATCCGGTGTCTCACTGGCTGCTGCAGTCATGTCATTGAGGTAAACTACACATTCGTCACTCGGAACATGGCATTTTCGTATTGTTAATGTTTCATCGATTGAATTTGGTTATTTCATCTTCTTTTAATGCAGTTACTCTACCATTGCTTGGGAGCTTCGGTTGCCAAGGGTGTTCAACCAAATGTCCACTACTCATACAAGGCTTCAAGCACCTCTGGGAAAGTGTTCGATTTCTTTACCGGATTGGGAGAAATAGCGTTTGCATATGCCGGTCATAATGTGGTTTTTGAGATTCAAGCAACGATTCCTTCGACTCCAGAAAAACCTTCAAAAGGCCCAATGTTGAAAGGTGTGATTGTTGCATATATAATAGTGGCGATTTGCTAATTACCAGTTGCTTTTATCGGGTTTTGGGCATTCGGAAACTCCATCGACGACAACATCCTCTTAACATTAGAGAAACCCATCTGGCTTATTGCTACAGCTAACATGTTCATCGTCATCCATGTTATTGGCAGCTATCAGGTACATATAACGAAACATAAACACTCGGTTAGGTTCGGATCATGACACTGTAAGCCGATAAAACAATGCAGATATTTGCAATGCCAATGTTTGACATGATAGAGAGCTTTTTGGTCAAGGAAATGCGTTTCAATCCTTGTTTAAAGCTTCGTTTAATTAGTCGGACTTCATATGTTGGTAAATAATCCCAACTTCTTTCATTTTTCCCATCTTCTCATAATCAAAATCTAGTTTCCCCCATTTAGTCCTGATTATGTCTGTTGCAGCATTCACAATGATTATTGCCATTTGCTTCCCATTCTTTGGAGGCCTTCTTAGTTTCTTTGGAGGATTTGCATTTGCTCCTACATCATATTTTGTAAGTCGTTTCACTCTGATATCATCTTTGTTTGTTTTGTATGACAGGAAGGATCGTACCTGAGATTGGTGCCAGGAAATCATGCTTGTTTGTTTCCTGGTTTTGGAGCTTCCATGTATCATCTGGCTCATCATATGCAAACCCAAAAGATTCAACTTAACTTGGTTTATAAACTGGACAAGTAAAACAAGTAATAAACTCGGGTTTAGGTTTCCGAACTTACCAGGTACCATGACATAGAATCCTGTTTGGTATGCATGCAGATATGCATTATTCTTGGTGTTCTGTTGATGGTTCTATCACCCATCGGAGGCCTTCAGTCGATTATCGTCTCGGCAAAGGACTACCAATTCTTCTCCTGATTCGTTCCCAGATTGTAGAACAGTATGCTGATGATTAAACGGACAGTAGTTGGTAGAATTTCCTTTTATCAGTTTTATCAAATCTTATTGTTCACAAGTTTTATCATCAGATGAGAAGGTTGTTCATATGAATTTCTTATTCAATTCCATGATAACCCAAATAGTTGTCAAATGTAACCCATAGTTTCTTGAATTAGTTACAAACAAAATTTCACATTCTAATGGTCTTGATAATTACCAACTAAACTTCTCCTGAAGCTGTAGAAGCACCTGCTGAAAGCTTATATCAAAAGAAATATGGCGATTTTACATGACCATGCCTCCATCAATGGTGAACACCTGCAAGACAAAAATGGCCCATGCTAATTGCTATCAGCTAAGTCAAAGAGAAATCAACCATAAGAGATGATCGGTGCAACCATGCAAAGCTAGGGATTTTAATAAATCAGTAACATTGCACCACTAGTTTTAATAAATCAATGCAAAGGCATCCTTCTAGTTTTATTAAAAAAAATGAAGATAGTAGATTGATAACCTGTCCTGTGATGTAATTGGAAGCGGGGTTTACCGCCAAAAATTCCACCAGTCCAGCAACTTCTTCCGGTTGACCATACCTGCCTGTACCATAATAAAAATAGTTACTACTACTGCAAATATTACTAAGCATCACTACTACAGACCTCCAATTTGAATTGGTGGAAACTAGGATGTCACATTAATAATACAAGTTTAAAGTAAAATATGATGGAAGAGACTTGTGTGAGTAGAGTAAATATCAACAAAGATGAAAGATGCAATGGATTTGGTACACTGCAAGATTTGCTGTATGAAGATCAATTGGACATTTCAAATGAAAGTTATTGATTTCAGTGAGTTCGGTTTGAAATGTTAAGACAAATTGAGAAGACTAATAAGAAATCCACATATATGGAAGTGTTATTGATTTTATAAAATATCTCTCACCCAAGGGGATTGTTGCCAAGATTTTCTTCTCAATATCTTCCCCAAGCTTGGAAGTCATATCAGATGCAATAAATCCGGGGGCAACAGCATTGACCTGGAAGAATAATATTACAGAACATTATCAGAGTGAGCATACCCGGCATGAGTCTCACATACCCCTATTCCTCACCCCCATATAAGGAAAGCATCTTTATTGTTTCTTGTCCTCATTTTTTATAATTTTGTTAATAATCGAATAGTCAAGGCATTAACTTTCATCTTTCTTCACCTTATCCCGCATCACATGTTCTTATTCCTTTTCTTAAGCAAAAGGAGAAAATCTTGGAGAAGTGTTTGATAATTACATCCTTAAAAAAGCGTGATACATAATTCCAAAATCCATAACGCAGATCTTTCTTATTACTGGAATGAAAGTTTAATAACTCTTGGAAAACTTACATTAATGTTTCGGCTAGCATATTCCCTTGCAACAGTCTTTGTCAAGCCAATGACTCCAGCTTTAGCAGCACTGTAGTTGGCTTGCCCAACATTGCCAACCAGACCGACGACTGATGCTATATTAATTATTTTCCCCTGACATTAGAACATATATTAAGACATAGTACATATTCTAAACCAACACTCTTCAAGCGGAGGAACTTTTCTTTATTTCTCACATTAGAAAAGAGAGTATCAACAAGAACATGCCTCTCTGAAGCAATGCATTTTAAGAAACCAAGGCTCAAGTTTACAAGCTGTAGCAATAAGTTGATTTGGAGGTACAAGGTTCTAGTCAGAACAAATTGATGAAGCAAATATACAACTTGTGAACTCATATGGAGAAATATATTATTACCTTTCTCTTCTTCATCATGATTTTAGCTGCTGCCTGCAAAAAGCAAAGTCAGTCAGTTCCAATAAATGACTCATACATCGACTAGAACAGCGAGTCATATGTCTAGCACTCGTACCTGTGTACAAAGAAACACTCCTGTAAGATTCAGATCAACAACCTCTTGCCATTGTGATCTCTTCATTCTCATCAACAAAGTATCCCGAGTAATTCCTAAAACCATGTCAATCAGATTAAGGGAGAAGACGAATCAACAGTTAAATAACTAAAGGGAAAAGAAAGGATTCTCAATAACCTGCATTGTTTACCAATATATTAATAGTTCCCCATGCATCAAGTGCCTGCCAATACAAAGTTATAAAACATGCCTATGCTAGAGAATTACAAAATATGAAAAGAAAGGGGACATTGACTTTACAGTTTTTATCATTGCCTCCACATCAGCTTCTTTTGAAACATCCCCGCCGAAAGTAATAGCCTGACCACCGTATGACTTAATCTAGAAAACAGTTGCCCAAACATTTAGCATTTGTTATGCCAACCATGCGGTACAAAAAAATTTAACAGCTGCCCAAAGAATATGAAGGCACTTTGGTAACAGCAAAGACTAGATGCATATAAACAGATGCAGAATTGAGCATAAAAGGAATCCTAGGATAGATTATAGGTAGCCAACAAACTCTCATCCACCAGTAGAAAGATTCCATTCCAGCACATAACAGTAGCTTATCGGACAACAAAGTTACTGCAATAAAAGCTGTAAAAAAGTAGTCTTGGTATAAATTTCTTCAAAGGGCATATCATTTACCTCTTTTGCAACTTCCTCAGCTTCATTTGACGATCTAGCATAATTTACTAGGACCTGCAAAGCAAAAAGGGATCTACAACCATCATTTCCTAAACAAATAGTAGTATATAGAAAATGTTTCTTTAGTTATAAAACACTTGAGATGCAAACATTATCAACAAATAAGCATGAAAAGCTAACTGGACAGCAAGTCCACCCACTTAGTCAGCAGTTAGACAAGTAATTTAATTTGGATTTTTTTAATCATTAGCATTTTAACCTTGAGAATTGATGAGATAAATAATCAGTTCATATTAAAGAGATAAAACTAGATGCCAACCTAATGCAAACCCAATCTCCCAAATGCTGATTAGACAGATAATCAGTTTATATTAAAGAGATAAAACTAGGTGCCAGCCTAATGCAAACCCAATCTCCCAAATGCTTTACCTCAAATTTGAAGGTAACTAACAAGTAACTACTGACAATTAAAGATAAATATTTTTCCCTATGAAAGAAATTGTAAGATCCTAATAAGGAACACCCGCTAACCTTGCAACCGGCTTTTCCTAAGGCCAGGGCAACTGCCTTGCCGATTCCTCTAGAAGCTCCTGTAACTACAGCCACGGGAGCTTCCACTTCTGGTGCTGCTTCAGAGCTAGCTTGCTCGACAATGGCACCTAGAAAAGGAAAACCAACAAACAAAAAGGAAAAAAAATTAAAAGCCAACTTAGTCTAGCATGTTTCTCGTAAATTTTCAAAACTTCGTTGTTTTATCTTAAACAATTGCTCATTGTCTGTTGAACTTGTTAAACAGAAAATTTATCAAGCTCCGACGATAATTTGACTATAATTATCCTTACTTAGTAAACATGTTGAGCTTTTTCTGCTTAAAGACTAAAATATGCCGCAAGGATGAAAATGACTGCTTCAAAGCAAAAGGAAAACAACTACCGGAGGAAGCAAACAATCTCCTCGATCTACACCGAAGTCTGGCACAAGACCTAATCTGAACCGACCCTATCGGGCCGGAAACCGGAGACCATTTCTGAGCGGGAAGAAATTTCCGGTCACTAGAATCACCAAATACCGAGACGGGTTTCAAAGAAATAACACTGGATGCAGCAGTCATTGGAATGGTAGTACCGTACAATGAGCAAAACGCGAAAAAGAAAAGTAAAATGACTTTGATGTTTAATGTTGGATAAAATACTGTTTTGGTCACTTACCGTTTTCCCTATTTTCTGTATTGGTCACTCAGCTTTAAATTTTTTAATTTCATCTGTTTTGATCATTCGATGTTAAGTGTCTAACTATGTTTGAATTTATTTGTTAAATTTATACAAAAAAACCTTTGAAACTTCTCTTTTAAATCCATATTTTTAGACTCACTTTAATTCATCAATTTTAGAATATTTTCTTTCAAATTTAAATACTGATAGGTTAAAAAGAAGGGAAAAAAAAGCAACATATCTTAGTTCTGCGCTTATTAGATAGAGGAGATTATTAACTGGAACAAAATAAGTCAACTTTAATTTGAATTTTATCAATCCTAAGAAAATTTCGAGGAAAACTAAATTAAGAATAAGAAAGAGTGGAGAGGAAATTTTTGGGTAATAATTGCATTAAAAATGATGGACGGCATTAATCGAATGACGGTGAGGAAAGATTCTAACCACAAAGAGAAGGTTGAAATTTTAAGAAAAAAATCAGAATCAGAAAGCCCTAAAATATAATTTTTTAATGTTATTAGACACTTAATGGTTGAGTAACCAAACAGAAATAATTCAAAATTTTAGTGATGAAATTGAGAATTTTTATAACCAAGTGACCGAAACAAAAATTCAATCAAAATTGAGTGATGAAAAAACATAGTTTATCCTAAATTGTTTGCTTTTATTTAAATAATAATAATAATAATATATTTTGCTTTTGGAAGTTAGGCGATTCATGCAACGTTTGTGTGAATGTTTTTCAGCCATGGGTCCTTGATGCGTTTTGAGTGGCCAAGGGAATTATAAAGCGGCGGGCACTACCCGTTGAGTGGTGCTCTGAGCACTGTAATGTAACTTAAACCTGATTATCATATTAATTAGAGGAAAATTAGGCTAACCAGCTCAATCATAATCAAGCCATTGGTGTTGCGTGATTCGGATGACGACGTCGTTCCACTCCAAATGCAGAGCCACAGCTATTGACCCGGTGTGCATCAACGGTGTCCAAAATTTCATGCTTGGGTTCAACTTCAAGCCACTATTGGTTAAGTTCTTCATTCATTATCTGATAAAACCAAACTTTGGTTGTCTTGTATTCATATCCGACACACATTTGGACATAAATTTAAGCATACGACCCTCCATATGTGAAAAACTTACGATCACCCGAATCCAAGAAGGATGTACTTAAGAATAGGTATTGTGTGACTCGGATGACGATGTTGTTCCATTCCCCGTTGTGCATCCACAGTGTCCAAAATTTATAGCCTGGCTTCAACTTCAAGACACAATTGGTTAAGTTCCTCATTCGTTATCCGATACAATCAAACTTTGGTTGTCTTGTATCCATATCCGACACATCCGGACGTGAATTTAAGCATACGTCACCCAAATCCCAGTAAGATGTACTTAAGAATAAGAAAAGGACTAAATGGAGGGAATATAGTAAGCAGAAGAACAATATGCAGAATGAACTAGTAATCATGTATCAATATAGAGTTTTCTGGTTTCCAGTACAAGCAGCGAAGAGCCTCACTACGTACTAACAAACTACACCTGCAAAATCCAAGTGATAAATGAAACAAAGTAACTCCTTCTATTGATCACTTCTTTGGGATGGCTTTTTGGAATTATTAATACGTCGAACCTTCAAAAAAGCTTTTGTCAAGTCCTGAAACAAACAACGAAGAGAATACTTCAACATATTCACTACTAAATGATGTTTTGCATATGCAGAAAAGATCAACAGAAAAATGCTACAAATAGCAAGAAATGAAGAGAACAAGAGACCCTGCGAAGATAAAAAGAGGATATTGGGTATTCTTCTCAAGATTTGGTGTATACTGTAGACAATAGGTAATTAACATATTAAGTCCTACGGGTGAAACATGACCAATATGTGACAATTATTTGTTTTTCAAACTCAGTGAGTAGAATATCGCTGCTCTAGCTCTACGAGTCCATAGTCCAAACATGAGTGCTAGCTGATAGGACCCTAATTTATCTTTCAAGCACTTACAGTAAAATATGCTATGTTAAATAAAAGGCTTGCTAAAACAGCTAATCAAAACCTAGACATATTCTCAGCCATATCCAAAGTTGGGCTAGAATTCTCCGACCTACTGTTGTCAAACAAGAAAGGTTTTCCGAATTGATATTTAGAGGTGTAACCCCATAAAACCAAGGGGATTGAAGGGGAGAAGCATTTGTCAGCTATTACATGGAGAAGCTAAACATAAATATCATCTGTCATTGTAAAATATTGACAACGAAAGATTAGACGTTCATCATTGTAGATCAAAGTATACAAACTTACCTCGACTGGTTCCGTGTGGGCTGTCTTGGAAGTCCAAATATTCTCCAAATTGTAATAAGCTCTTGCCTTCTCGTCGAGAGCATGAACTATCACTCTACCTAAATGAAAGAAATAACCACACAAAAATCATCAACGAAGTCTACAATATATAGAATCAATGTGTAGAATTGAAACATCCGATACTATCATTGCAGAAGATTGTCCTAAAACTGCTAACCATTTATATGCGTTAAGCCCGAAAATATCATCAACGACATCGATTCCTTCAAATCAGCTAATTGCAGACGCAAATCGATACATTTTGATTTTCGCATAAAAAGATTACCAATACAAGCATACAAAGAAAGTGCTAAAAAACAACAAAGTGAATGAAGCACGAACCCGAGTCGATGACAATCCATTTTCCCGTCTCTTGCCCTTGTACACTGGGTAATACCATCCTCTTAGCTCCTTTTTGCTTCTGCTTAACCTGTTCCGGCAAATAAACATAAGAATAATCACAGTGACGATCGAGGAAACTTGGAAATCAAAAGAAAACCACAAAACCGTACCTTGTAAATTAGGGCTTGGGCGATGTTCTTGACGTGCCACGGGGACCTCCCGGTGGCAATCACCATGAAATCGGCCCAATCGCATTGGTCCCCGACCGGAACCACCGACACGTCATCAGCTCTGACGTCGCTTAGAACCTTCTCCGCCTCTTGCAGGCTCAACAGCTCATTGCTTCTTTCCACGGTGGTTGAAGAAAACGTCTGATTTAATCCAGAAAACCCTAGCTTCCACGATCCATATGTGAGAGAGGTCGAAGGTAACGATGATGTAGATAGATGCAGATATCGGGATCTTAAAGTCGCCCACATCAGATCGCAACTACTGAAGCTCTTTGAACTGACAATCGCCGCTTCCTCGGGCTATTTGCTTTCATCGCCTAACAAAATCCCCCTTCCGCATCGAGATTATATTGATTTTCTTATTTAATTGTTTAAATTATTTTTTTAATCAATTTACTTATTTAAACTTACAAATATTATTATTTTAAATACTTTAAATATAACGACTGTTAAAAAAGGAAAAATTTAAATTTAAATTATTATATTAAAAAAAATTAAATCCCCTCCCCTCCCTCTCACCCACTGTCTCCCCCTCCCTTTAACCAATATTAGCTAACAATTGTTTATAATTTTCTTAAAGTAATCTGTCACAAACAAATCAGAAAGCACAATAATCCAAAATTAGAGAGCAAATAGCCTTCATCAGTAATCCAAATGGAGAGGAGAGGGAGAGGACGGGGATTTTTTAAATTATTTTTCAAATATAATAATTTAACTTTTAAGTTTATAAAAATTGAAAATCACTTAATGGAATTTTTTAATAGGTCGAGACACTTAAAATGTTAATATTTATAACGTTAAAAACATGAATTAATCGAAAAATAGTTTAAGTACATAAATGAGAAAAATATTATAATTTAAACAAGTATTTTTATATTAAGCCAACATTATATTATAAACATATATCTTTAATATTTTATCATTTATATTATAATTAATGTATTTTTGTAAAATAAATATAATTAATTTTAACTGTTATCTAACTATATTATTTTTAATAATACACATCTTTAAATTAATGTAATTGTCATGACCAGTGAACCTATATTCGAGACGTGTATAAATATTTGTTAGACAAATTATATGCGAAGTATGGAATTTGTTAAGACGGTTAGATTTAGTCTCTCGCTTGAAGAATGCTAACAACCACATTCATTTTGACTTTGCCAAAGAAAAAGAAAATATTATATCATCAAATATCTTAAGAGAATCTTGTCATATTCAATACGAACAACTATCCGAGAAATATTCTATGCTAATTGATGTAATTTTCTTAGATAGGAGAATTTGTGTAGACGTTGACACATTTTAATCGTTGATGTAAAATGATCTAAGCCATCCATCACGTGGAAACTCAACTGCAAATAAAAACTATCCACCTCATTTGTATTTTTTCATTCATCTCATTTTATTCTATAGCTGTAGAAAGAGCATTCATTCTCTCGTCACTTTATTCTTACTTGATCGATACTTTAAAGACTTGGCCTAACGTTAAGATTTAGACCCTTTTAAAAGATTTTAAATTTAAATTATAAATTTACATTTTTCATTAATACGATGAAGATATATTATTATTTTACTAAAAGTATTAATATATTAAAATAAAAATATCTGTAACTTATCACGAGTACTCGACTTTCGAATGGATGATTCTTCGGAGAAAATGACTAATTGGAAAGTGTCGCTCAAGTAGGGTTTGACTACTTGAAAAAATTTGGGTTTCTTTATTAATGAATTTGGAGTTTTGGTTGGGTTAATTGGGTTTGCCCTTTGGACCTGAGTTGATTAGCTTAGGTTCTTGAGCTTTCAACATAAATAATATAATAATAAATATGGTTATTATCAACAATTAGTTAGTCTAGTAAGAATAGACATTAGGTCCCTTAAACAAAGTCAAGGGTTTGAATCTTGGCGTTTGCGAAGGTAATAAATTGGGTTGGGAGAGTCGCCTTCGCCTCTGCAGTACCCGATCTGAATTAATCAAGTCAATTGATCGGATACCAGAGATTAATTCAATATATATATATATATATGGGGTTATTATATTTCGTATTTGATATACAATTAATATCCAAGGTTCATATATGTCTCTACCAACAACGTTATTTTTCAGAGTTTAAACATACTTTTTTTAAATTTTAATCATTGAAAATATTTTTAAATCACAAAATAATTAATATATCATAAACTGCAATTAAGTTTACGGGAGTGGGAGACTTTCTTTTAATAGTCTAGGGTGATAGAAGATAGTATTTGTACAGAATTTTCTTAATCCATTGATAATGTATACACCCTATAGATGCACCTACTCGAACTTAAAAACTCGAAGGATAATAACATTTCTTTTATCATTTAGTACTTAAATACTATATAATTAGAGCTTATTGATGGACATTTGTGAAGGCAATGTAGAGGTTGATATAATCTTGTCAACCTTAGTAGAGATAACTTCCATAATTACTGATGGCAATCTCACCAAATCATTGGAGATGCTTACTATTTTTGATAATGTTGATGATGAGTTTAGTTGAAGAAGATGAAGGTTTTTAATATATATATATATAATTGAATTTTTTTGTCAATGACTGAATTAGTTTTGTAGCTACAATTTAGAGGTTAAAATAAATATTTAATTTTTTTATTAAAGTGACACATTATATACTTAAGGGCGTCAACCATAAACAGAATATTTTATAATTTATTAATAATTTTAGTGATTAAAGTATAATTTCAAGATTTTAATGACTAAAATAAAAACTCGCTAAAATTCTAATGACTATAACTATAGTTTACCGACTGTCAAATTATAAAAAATTAACGGTAAATTGTCTATTAAGATTAACTATTTATTTAAAAAAAGTATACATAACATTATATTTTATTTTTCGTATTTATCATTAAATTTAATTATTGACTAAATAAAAGTAATGATGTGATATGATATAATGATAATTTAAACTTTTAAAATTTATGATTTTTCTTGAATAAATTTTAATTTAAAATAATTTAATAAATCTTCAAAATTTCCCCTAATGACCATGACTATAGTTTATAAATGATTAAATTATAATAAAGTTAAAGATAAACTACACATTTAGTATTTAAATTATTTTTTTTATGTTTTATTTTTTTCAAAATATTACTAACGTTTATTTTAGATTTCTTTTGTATCGAAACATAAATAGTAAACATGTAGTAGTTTACCTTAAAATTAAACACACAATTCATGAAAAGGAAAAACATGAAGAACAAATCATCAATGGAATCTGAGAATGGAATGAGTCGCACCTCAGAGCAAAGTATTAAGTTGGCTTCTGGTAGAATGGCACGTGCATTGTCGTCCACTTTATTCTACCGGCAACCCGCTGCTTGATGAACAGCATATTTTTAGCTTCTTTTTTTGGCTTTCGAGAGACATCCCACCTTGAAAAAGTGAAGTCCGACACGATTAAAAGAGCTAGAGGTTTTAACTACCGTCTGATCTACGTTACAGTACGATCTGACTAAAGAACCAAGCGTCACCCTTACGCCACGTGGGTTGGGAGAGAGACTTTAGTCCCAACTTCACTTTTTGCAGCAATAATAAGGATCTCATTCTTCATATATTAGACTATTTTCACACATTTTTATGAAAATGTTAATTAAAAATAGGGTAAAGTATATAAATTATACCTACACTATATGATGTTCTTTTTTGAGTCCCTCAACAATTAAAAGTTACATAATAGTCACTCAACTATGTTTCAAACTCGTCATTTTTCATTAAAAAATTAGTGGTCGTATGAGTTGAACGTTAACTTGTTAACTGAGATATTATAAAATATGATCCCAATATTGTTTGAGTTATATTTTATGGGTCGACTATTCGTTTACATTATGTTGTCGAGCTAGTGCTTGAAATATTATGTCGTTGAGCCAGTTCTTGGAAGCAACAAGAATGCTAGTAGACATCATTTAAATATAATTTTGTCATATCTCAGTCAACAAGTTAACGTCCAGCTCAGACGATTGCCAATTGTTTAACGGGCAAGTATGAGTTTAGAACATTATAATAGTCGGATGAGTATTTTGTAACTTTTCATAGTCGAGTGACTCAACAAAACAATACCCTAGAATTAAGGGACCATTATGTAACTTTTAATAGTTAAAAGACTCAACAAAACATCACATTGTAGTAAGAGGACCATTTGTATACTTTACCATTAAAAATATTTTTTTTCAATTTTAACGTGATTGTTTGTATGATAATTTTCGTATATTATATACTTATATTACTTAATTCTTTTATATGTAATTTTAATGAATTATTTAAAAATTGTAAAAAACTATTTAAAAAATATAAAAATTACTAACATAAAATACATGTGGACCATCATACAAATTATTGTGTCAATATCATTGAAAGTTTAATATTATATTTACCATTTCATTTTTAAAAAATAACTATTTTTAAATGGTTAAAAGACCAATTTCAACCAAAAAGGTATATATCAATCTAACAAAAATATAAATAGTAAAAATTATATATATATATATATATGTATATATTACAATAAAGAATAAAATTTGTTAATTGACTGAAAATTTAATATTAATCAAAATTAAAATAATAGAATTTATTAATATATTAAAGATTTGATTGAGTTTTGTTAGTATATTTGCAGGTATTTAATATATTCATTAATTAATTCATATTGAGAATTATAAAGATCCATTATAGGGGTAACTCTTTCAATCAAATTTACTTCATTCACAACACTTAGATTTGAATGTATAGCGTTACTTAGGAAATCTAATGTCTTATCTCATCAAACCAACTTATAGTTGATTGATTGAGAATATTTTTAATAAAAACTTTTTATATTACAAATCCGGTTAACACTTTATTATATATAACTAAACAGTGATAATATAATAATTAAATAAAATTTTCCTAAGAGTAATTAAATATATTTAAGGAAATCTTTTGATCAAATTTCATTGAATATATATTGTTTAAAATATATGATATTTAATAATTTATATAGTTGATTCTGTGATGGATTTCCAAATATTTAAGTTAAACGAGTTATACAACTAATTATGCCGGCTATTTATTTTAGTTTATTGTCAATCCCATCTACATGGACCTAATTCGAACAAAGCCTAATTATTATTTGTTAATACATTTTAAAAATAATATTTATTATTGGATAATTATCTCGAATAAAATAAACTCTTCACATAATTAAAAATAATGTGCCGGGACGGTAATTCAAATTAACCCAAATTTAAATTAGGTAATTTTAAAAATATTTAAAATAGCTAATTTTAATTTAATTATGATAATAAAAACAATCAATGGTGACATTTCAACATAATCATTAATTTTTTAACGGTATGTGATTATAATAAAAATAAAATTAAACATTAGATATGATATTGAAAAAATTAAATGACTAAAACAGAATAAAAATGATAGTTGATGTATTAAAAGGGTAGTTTATCCTTATAATATATGAGGTAGATGATTAGGAAAGAATAAAGATTTAGTTAGGACATCATTGGAAGACAAGGGCATCTAAGATTTGTCCTACGCACCTACCCACCAATAACGTCAACATCATTAATCCTTCCATAATTCCATTACTCGGCCTTGGCTTTAGCTAATTATGACATTATTTGTCGTAATTTGGCTTTATGGATAACTTATATTCTATATATTATAATATTATTCTCCCACCTAAAGTTTTGAATATATATATATATATATAACTTGGATTTTGGGATAAAAAAGTTACCTTTGACAAGTTCAATCTTTGATATAATGACTTTTTGTATATGGATGTGATGTTTCATTCATATATATATATATATATAAAAGGTTAGGATACATTTATATAATATTTTTTTTTTAGTTTTATACATATTAAAATTTATGATTATTAGATGAGTAAAACTAGTTAATATATTATTATTTCTTATTGTTAATATCAATTATTTATTTTTAATTATCCAATAATCATAAATTCACTTAAAACTAAAAGAATCTTACATTGCATAATAGGATATCATCTCATTTAAAATGTGTGAGTATGTATGTATATATATATGAATTGATTTTTTGACATAATGACCAAAATCTCCTTAATGTTTAACTAAGAAATTATTTTGATCCATATTATTTTTTAGAGCATTTTGTCCCATAATATTTTATTTTGAGACAAAAAAGACCTCTTCGTGGATGGAGATCATTAGTTAACAAACGATTAACGCTCTAAAATAGAGATTTTATCTTAAAATGAAACGTTAAGAGTGAAAATGTTAAAAAAATAATAAGAACTAAACTGCCTATTTAGTTAAACATTATGAGTCTTTTATCTTAAACTGAAATATTACGAGTCAAAATAATCAATAAAAAACTAAAATATTATTTTAATCAAATATTATAAATATTTTTTGAGATTACGCTTTATTTTTTCTCTCTCGTTGAATTGAATTTCAAATAGTATTTGGATTGAGGTTTTTATTTGGGTCTGGTTTGTTTGGATGTAGAAGATGGCATCCGAACAATTGTTGTTTTATGGGTTTATTTAGTTAAGAAAACAGAGCTTTCAAATAGGTTTAAAAAAATTAAAACAATGATTAAAATGATAGAATCTTTAAATTTAAGATTAAAATTATTATTAAGCCAGATGATATTATTATATTCATTAGATTTTTTTTTTATAAAATTTAAAGATCAATGATTGAAATAAATATATAATTTTATTAATATTACAATAAATGATTTTTTTAGAAAAAAGTAAAACAATATCTATAATTCCCCTCAATTGTGATAACAAAAATTAAGCTAATTTTTTTAGAATTACGATAATAATGAAATATACTTTATCAGAAACACAAAAATAAAAAAGGACAAACAACATATTTAGTATCATAATTATCATTGTTGTTATGTTTTGGTCACCTAGCTATATTATCTTATTTTTTAAAAACTATATCTAACATTATATTTTAGTTTTATTTTAGTCACCCGTTATTCTGATATAGAAAAAGAGTATGCTCTGGGACGGAAGGATTTAAACCTCCGGATAGCGGGACCAAAACCCTTTGTCTTACCACTTGGCCACGCCCCAAATAGATTTCTATTTGAAACTACTAAATACTAATATGGGTATTCCTTGTTCGTCAATTCCAGTTCCAAATAGCTATGGAATAGAGTAGATTATTGCTACGATTTTTGCACGTATGGATAGAAAATTAAACCGAATTTATTGATCATTACGTAGAATTCAATTAAGATATTGTATGAAAGTATGTTTTCTTCTATTCTCTTATAAAATTTGAAGGCTTTTTGATTGGGTGAGTTCAAAGAAGTATTGTTTAGTCGACGTGGCAAAGCATTACCTTTAGGTAAAACATCAACATCACCGTTAATTTTTTTAACGACGGATGACTAAAATGAAATCAAAACGTAACGTTAATTATGATTTTAAAATAAAATATAGTTAGGTTAGAATAAAAGTATTAGTTGGGGCACAAAAAAGTGTAGTTTACCCAAAAAAAAAAAAAATGAGACCGGAAAAAGAAGAAGAAAACGAAAGGTTGCTGCAGAGGAAAGACGGAAATCTGAACAAGAGCCGATTATTGTAGCCTGTCTTGGAAGTTACTTTCCCGGAGGATAGAGAAAAAATTGAATTGTCTGCGTCTGAAACCGGTCGATCTCCTCCGACCTCAGCCACGCACCACTCTGTAATTTGCTTTTAATTTCTCCCCTCTCTTCCAATCGCAATCATTTCTAATTCAATTTATTTCTCAGGTCAAAGGAACTTTACGTCTACTTATTTTATCTTTGTCAACTACCAACTTAGTTTTCAGACGCAAGTGATCATTAACGGTTTAGTCTCATCATCATCATTATTAAATAACTTTTTAAAATAAGATAACTATCAAGATTACCTATCAACTTTAGTATAATATGTAATATTATTATATGCGAATTTAAAAGATATAATGTTAAAAATATTTTTTATCGAACGAAAATTATTAGTTGATTGACGGTAAAAGTATATTGTTGACGTATTATTTTTACATGTAGTCAATTATTAGTGTATCACATTTTATATTATCATTTTGAATGACACGTCACATACGTTTTTGACATGATACATACTACATAATTACTTTAAGTGATGTTACACATGTTATACCATTGATTTGAATGACATGACATATATTACATTATTACTTTAATTAATATGACACATATTACGTCATTATCTTGGATGACATTACATATGATACGTCAATAATTTAGTACATATAGAAATATAAAATTAACAATATACATTGATCGTTGGATAATTAATAACTTTTATTTAATAAATATAATTTTAACTAAAGTTAAAATATTAAATATTTAAATTTTCTTAAACCAATTACTAGTTGGTTTAGTGAGATGAGATATTTGATTTTTTAAGCAATATCAGATATTCAAAACCCTAGTGTTTGCATGAAGTAAACTGGGTTAGGAGCAAACTGGGTTAGGAGGGCTGCCTTCGTCTCCGCAGTACCCAATCTGAACTAGATAGATCGGACACTAGAGGTTAATTAAAAAAGAATTTCTTAAAAAATCAATAAAATTTAAAATAATTATTTAAAAAATGTAAGATGTTAATTTTGATATTATACCTTTAAGTGTACTCAAGCGGATTAAATGCGATTAACCTAAAATAGAAGAAAACATTTACAAAATTACGATCGATTAAAAAGAATATTTAAAAGAAGAAAAGAGTAATGAGGCGATCAGGTCGGGTGGACGAATTGGTCCTTACGCGGACTCTGCGCAACCCGACTGGAGCAGCTTTATAACTTCCATTTTATATTTTATAAAAAAAATTTATCTGTTACCTCTGAACCAAAAACAAAATCTTATTACCCTCAGTTTCTCTAGAGTACCATTGTAGCTTCTGCCGTCGCGGCAACCACCGTTCACGGCTGTCCGTAATCTAGTATCTTCACAAATTTGACTAGAGTATTCCTTTTGGAACTTCTAAACCCAGAAACCAACTTAATTTTCTCAAAATCAACACCGAAACCTCTAAATCTAAGCCCGAGACCTGCTGTTACTAACACTTTAAACCGCCACATTCTGCCGTTAGATTGTCACTGGATTTAAGATGAACGTCCCTCCGGTCTCCTCAAGGTATTAACCTGTTTTTGATTTTGAAAACATCAACTCGAACCTAAGAAACCTTGAAAATTCCTTAAAATGCTTAACCTACTGACAGAAAATGTTTGATTGTTTTCTCTCCTTTGCCGATGAGTACTTGCTTTGATTCTCTTCATTTTCTCTGTTGTTTTTTTGGAAGAAAAAAAATGAAACAGTAAAAAAACTCGTGCTTTATTCTTGTGATCTGCTGGAGAATTGTGACATTTTCTGGGTTTGTTGATGTTGGTCTTGTCAATTATTCTGCTTTGTTTAAATCAAGGGTTTAACATAAATTCATTAAGAGCGAATATGCGAAGCAGGTCCAATTCTTGCTTTTATTTCGCTGTTATCCTAACCTTAATTTCTTGATCTAAGTTTTCGGGTTCCTTATTTTTAGCTTCAAAATCCCCTCCCCAAAAAACCATCTTAATAAGTTTCAACTCTAATATTCAGATCTCACATTTCAAGACCAAATTCGAGAGCGGAAATGGATTTTCAACAAAAATAAAATTATAATTCACTCTAGCATCATTACTGAAATAATTTTCAAATGATACGGATAAAATCGTGTCTATAGGTGAATTGACTTCATCACTAATTTTGAGCGGCGCTGGAAATGTTCTGCCTGGAGGTTACTGGTGGCTGAAAATTTTGACTTTGGCTTTGGGTTTTGGTCAATGTAGGCGTTTTACTGTTAATTTTGATGGATATCTAGGGTTCTGAAGTTGCGTTTCATTATGAGCATCTCAGTTTGGTGGCTATTTTCCATCTCAAATTCGTGGTTATTGTTCAGTTACTGCTGCTGCTGATTTTCTATCAAGCATTCTATTTCAATGTGGCCATTGCACCCTTGTTTTGAGTTATTTTGAAGTTGACTGCATTTGTTACTTGGAAGAAACACGGAAAGGGTGAGTTGGGAGTAAATTATGGGGCAGGATTAAACGATTGCTGTGATTCTTTCAGTAGGGTAGATTAGGGCAGCTGAGATGCCTCCTTCTCCAGCATTGAGACACTCTCCAGGGAGGGAGCTGAGAGGGGGAACCCACAAAAGATGGTGTAGCTTGGAGGGCGTGTTGAATGTACATGAAAAAGATGACGACCTTGCTTTGTTCAATGAAATGCAGTTCAAAGAAAGAGATAATTTTTTGCTTCAACCCTCGGATGACATGGAAGATTCATTTTGTAATTTTCTGTTTTGCCTTTTGATTTCATTCGAATGGGTGTATTGCCCGTGAATTAATGAATGTAAATCAATGTCTGCAAGCTAACGCCATTTTTTTTATTTTCTTTGGTTTTGAAATATTGTTTGCAGCTACAAAACTGAAATATTTTTCAGATTTCAAACTTGGAGTATCTGTTCCTGTTCGAGGGGAGACTAGTGAACTCCTTGATGCAGATGAAGAGAAAAATGACTATGAATGGTATGTCATAATTTCATCTTTGAGATTTTTGAATGTTGTTTAGAACTGTGACATGATGAAAATTTTGGCCTGGAACTAAGCTGAAATAGTAATATAATCTTATATAAGTTGGCACGTTCTTGTTTGGCATATGTTAGAATTAAGTAATTGCCGATGGTGTCAGCAAGAAATTATTATTATTTGATCATTTTTATTTCATTCCTTGCATGCTATTGTGCTGTTATCTGAACTTAAAGTTTTTTGGTCCTCACAAAGTGTCATTCTTGGTGATTTTGAAGGTTATTAACTCCACCTGACACCCCCCTTTTTCCTTCCTTGGATGATGAGCCACCTCCATCTAACATTGTTCGCAGGGGTAGACCTCGGACTCAACCCATTTCCATATCAAGATCATCCACAGTAGGTTATCATATCACTCTTGTGGAATGAAAATATGTGTATTGATGAAATAGTTGTCAACATTCACTTAAGTCTTCTTTTGAAAGTCTGATCTTATTCTTTCTAAAGCTTCACCATTCGTCCTCTATGAAAATATTGCAGATGGACAAGAGTTACAGAAGCAGTAGGGGCAGTGCAAGTCCAAATCGTTTAAGTCCATCACCTCGGTCTACGACTAGCACACTCCAATCTAGAGGAAGGCCATCTTCAGCACCTCAGTCCAGTCCAATAAGGCAATCTACTCCAACTCGAAGACCATCTCCTTCCCCTAGTAAAAGTTCAACACCCGGTCAAAGGTCTTCCACACCTACTCAAAGGACAAGCACAGGAGGAAGGGGAACATCTCCTATAAGGACAAGTAGGGTAAACTCTACGTCACCAAAAATAAGGGCTTGGCAGTCAAATATCCCCGGTTTCTCCTTAGATGCACCACCTAATCTTCGTACTTCTCTGGGTGATCGACCAGCATCATATGTGAGGGGTTCCTCACCTGCGTCTAGAAATGGAAGAGATGCAAGATTTGGCAGGAAATCGATGTCCCCAACGGCCTCTAGAAGTGTCAGTTCATCTCATAGTTATGATCGAGACCAATTAAGTTCATACAGTAGAGTGTCTGTAGCATCATCTGGTGATTATGATGCAGACCCTCTACAATCTATTCCTCTTAGTGGATCTACCCTTTCTGTTCCAAGGAGGCTTGGTACATACAAAAATAACATGGGGCCAACCTTTAACAAGAAATCAGCTAGAGTGTTATCACCAAGTTCTGCTCCAAAACGTTCCTTTGACTCTGCTCTTCGTCAAATGGTAATTTCTTTCTTTCTTAGGTTAATATGCATCTGTTACATCAGTTTGGGTCCATATACAAGTGTTGAAATATAAGTAGTTAATTTTCTGCTCTAATTTTCTGAACCTAGTCAACCTACCTTGCTTTATTTGCTCCTAGTTTATTTAATTCCTTTCTGAATGGCCTGCAACGGAGGACTATTCTTGTTCCAGTATGTTTTACTAATACAGTATAGATTTAAACTATCTAATAATGGAGAAGAGATAAGGAAGGTCAATGTAAAATCTTTTCATTTTCGTTGGAATGTGAAACTGTGTTCTCTTGGTAGAGTATTCTTAAATTCCTGTGTCATGTTCCAATAATGTCGTATATCTAGAGGTGACAAACTTGATGGTATAATTTAAATTGATGGGTTTGATGTGATCCTACTACTTAGTAAGCATTGCACGTGAGAATTATAGTCGGAATTAATTGCTGGATGAAGTTTTTGGCAGTGACCATTTAAAATTTCAGTGCCTGATTTAATCTGGTATGTCTAAAAGGGGGAAAGAAAGTAATAACTCCAGAACTTCCTGTTTAATTAGTGCATTATATGAATCACATTCCATATTTGAGTAAACTTTCTGAGCAATTAGCTTTCTCTTGACGTGTTTTAACGTGTTAAATAACTCAAGAACTTCAATGCAATCTGCAAGGTCAATGTCTTTACTACTAAGCAAAAAGAAATTTATGATAGCTGTGAAAGAATTCATGTGGTGTGTTGTTACTTCTCATGCATTTACTTGTTCCCAATTAGACTTTTTCGTGCGTAATTAGTGCAAATCATGCATGCTTGGTCATAAACACAGACCTTATAGTTTATTGTAATCAATATTTCGATTCAGGATCATCGGAAGAGTCCTCCAAATATGTTCAGACCTCTATTATCTAGTGTTCCAAGTACCACATTTTATGTTGGGAAGGGCAGTTTTACACATAGTTCTCTGATGTCAAAGAATTCATCTGTTACCACCAGCAGTAATGCAAATTGTGATCAAAGTTCAAGTGCTGTGCTTGATATTGAAGGAAGTGACCAATATGATGACATGGCAAGTGAATCCGGAAGGGTACCTTATGCCAATGTTCTTGAAGAGGTTTTTGCCTTTGATAAGATGGATGCAGTAAACCAGGATGCTAGCTATGAAACACATAATGATTCACTTAATATTCTCATTGAAGATATTGATAGAGACTCTACAATCCAATGTGACCCTGACCACTCTGGGGAGTTATGTCATCATGGTCTTGAAGTGGAAATGACTTCAAATTCTGATCCTCTGCGTGACAGGGGAGATCTTTTTGAAACTGATAGTTTTGAAAATACAAAAATTTGTTCTAAATGTGGTTGCAGGTATCTTGTTATTGAGCGGGTTGAAGAAGAAACCAGTCTTTGCACAGATTGCAGTAGGCAACATGGTATAGTTGGTGGTGACATTTCTGATGCAGAGAATTACCCAGAGTTGTTTATGGAAGTTTCTGAAGAGGATAAACCCTACCCTGAAGTGGAAATCTCAATTAATCCATCTGATTCACTGTTGCATGTTGCTGATGCAGTTGAACCCTGGATTTCTCAGCATGAAAAAACTATCAAGCAAAGTGAAAATTTCTCTCAAGAAAATTCTCTTGGAGGTTCTCTGTTGGAGGGAGGTGAGAACAGGCTTGGTTATCAGCAAGAGATGGCTGAACCAACTGTTGGTTATTCTATACCTAATAGGGACACTGGAGGTCAGCAGTTGCATTACTCTGATGAACATTTGAAGGTTAATTCATCAGAAGTTGTAGGTATTTCAGTGCTGTTAAAGAGGTCAGGCAGTAGCAAGGGGCCTGTTGTTCTAGGTAGGACCTTTTCTACCATACCATCAGAAGATCTTTCTTATGCAAGAGACAGTTCTAACAGTTTCAGAAGCTCTGTTGGACATGGGAGTGTCTCTGTATCATCCTCTGTCGAATTGAGCTCATCCAGACAAACAAATACATTGAATGCTATAAAATCTGAGTTGGAGAATTACCGATATGATTTGAATGCGAAGCCTCCAAGCTTTACTTTGTCTCAAAGTTCAAGCAATAATTACCAAGCATTAAGTCTTGCATCTAGCACAAATGATGAAAATTTTGAGAGTTCTGTTCGCAGTCTGAAATTTGAGGAAGCAGAGGACCTAGCTGTTGTTTCTCTAGCCAAAGCTTCACAAAATTCAGAGGCAGATTCATCATTCCCTGCTGCTGCCATTTCCAAAACTGATGGTATTGAGTGGAATGAAAGTAGCAATGTAATTGATACTTTAACCTCTGAGCCATTAGAGGACAATTCAGCAGCATCGTTTCCTCTCAATAATGACAGTGTTTCATATGAGAATGTAAATAGCTTTTCAACTAATGCCAGGATAGCCCCAAGTGTTGAAGCATTACCTACCACTCTAGATCCTACTCTTGAAGAACATGGTATGCAAAATGATATTCCTGATGCCGTTGAGGCTGCTGGCCACACCTTTTTGACTACAATCTCAGAAATAGAAATTGACAATTCCTGCCGAAGTTCCTGCAGTTCAGAACTTGATGGCTTGTCTCCAAATTCTGAGAGGAAGAAGAAGAGATCCATGGATCTGTCTGATGCTATACCTTTTTATGTGGATATTACTGCTTCTGTTGAGGAGCATGATACGTCAGATCATGCAGTTGGTGTTTTAGGTACGTAATTATTTCATTGCGGCTTTCCTTCTACTTTGTACTTTCAACTTGAAGTAAAATTTTACTTCCATTCTTGAGAAGATTTTTGATATGTCAATCACCATTTGTCATAAACAATTTTAGGATGCAGCATGTTTAGTCCTTCATTAACTATCCATGCTAGTCCTTTTGAAAGTCAGATTATTCTGTCTTCAACCATTGTTACTTCCTTGTAGTTTTTATAAGAGCAGTAAATAGCAACACTAAGAGCCACTTGTAACCCTTCATGGATTACCCATCATGATTGACCCCTTTCTCTTTTTCTTTGGGGTTGAGGTTCAAGTTTGTAATTTTACCCAGGTCTGTGATCAAATTTGCCTTGTCTTTTAGCAGGTGCCATTTTAACATCGTACATTTTGATTGGCTTAAAAATGATCAAAAGTTAATCATGAATAAGGAACTGCCATATTATTTTGATCTTTTTGGCCTTTCTAATAAAAGTTGTACACTTGGGAAGCACATGGTTTGTCAGTCATACTAGTTTCAAATCTGTTCAGTTACATGGTTTGAGTTAAGTCACAATCTTCATAAGGTTTTCATACTCCGATTTTTAGCAGTCAATTACTTATTCTTGGAAAGCTGTGGATAAGGCAATTACTGCTCTGATAATGGATGTGAGGATTGCCTTTTTGTGGCTTCAATAAGAGATAAGAGTATGAGTTGTTTGAATTTTAGACTATCCCCATAGATATGTTGCCTATTCTTGGTCTTCAGAGAATTGCTTTACATGGCAGTTGTAATGTTTTCTACTTGGGGGTGTTTTAACTTCAAATATTGGAAATTAATGCTTGCTTTGCAATGGATCATGTTAAATTCCATTTACCACCATGCTATTCCCCCCCCCCAATATTTGCAGTGACAAACTAATTTTATTTACAATTATTTTTAACTCTTTTTCGTACATAAGAAGTGATTGATTTGACCTTGTGTCTGTTAAAATGATATTCCTCAGTTTGTTGATCGGATAAGGTTTATTTTGTCTGTTTCTTGATGTCAATGCTTTTTTGAATTTAGTACTCAAAGCGGCACACCATAAGATTCTTTGCTGAAGTTCAGTTCTGATTTGTTACTGAGTTGCAGTGATATTTTGTTTAGTCTTGATGGAAATTTTATGCTATTTGACAGAGGAATCAACTGTCTTGGTAGAATGTCGTGGAGGAAGTAAGGCCAGAAGCCTGACACTTGAAGAAGCAACAGGCACAATACTTTTCTGTAGTTCCATTATCCATGATCTTGCCTACGAGGCAGCTTCCATTGCCATTGAAAGGGAAAGTTCTGTGCAATTGGAAGGTTCCAGGCCAACTGTGACGATCTTGGGGAAATCCACTTCTGACAGGAAAGATCTACGGGGGCGAACTGTTGGTAGATGGACTTCAAAATCTAATAAAGTCAGGCAGAGGCGGGTAGAAACTGATGTAAAATCTGTGCCTACCAAGACTGTCAATGACGAAAATGCCTATGAACCTTCAAATCATAATGTTGATATTCCTAATAAGATGGACAATATGAACCCTCCAAAGCTAGAATCTAAGTGTAACTGCTCTATAATGTGAGAGCAAGTCTTTCAATCAGACCAAACACGCAGCGCTTCACCGTCCTCCTCATGGCTTTGCTACTCCAATCTTATTTAGAGGGATTGGCAAGTGCTTTGGATTTTAAACTCATTTTGTGGTTAAATTTATTGGCAATGGGTTGTCTGGTTCCAAATTTAATTGTAAGAAATGCCACCGGTTGTTGGTGGTGACATAAATTGTAAAGTTGTTTAGGTTGATAATAGTGAAGGCAGTGTGGGGTGGGGGCATTTGTGTTTCCCATCACCAAATTCGTTGTTAGTTATCAGTGTTTGTTTTGGGTCCTGTTCTTTGTCGGAGAAAGTGTGAATTAAGACCCTACCTCATTCATATTCAATTATTATGACTATTGAAAATAATGTCAGCTCAATTTGTTTAGCTTCTCCTCCATCTCCTTGGCAACAGGTACTGAGACATATTCCACTGTGTTTCACACTGACACTCCTGCACAGAGTTTCCATGCGGAAGAGGATTTTGCGTCACAACACAACAGGTATGTACAAATTCTTGGTCCTTGCTTCATGAAAGTTAAGATGAATGTAGACAAGAAAGATGGAATAGAGGACTTATGATAACATGATATAAATGATGTGCCATTGCTTTTCATGCTAATGTTGTTTTCCTTTTTAAGTTTCCATTCTCTTGTACAAGTTATTGTAACGATAATGCTTATTACGAGTGTTTGCTGCCCTTTTCCGCAAGTGGATATAAAGTTGAGATTTATTCAACCAATACAAACTTTTATTCTTGAAGTCGAGGGTGCCATGTCTCGTCTGATAGTTCTATAACATTTAAATTTTCATCCTTTTTTGCAGAGGCATTCCAATGCAATGCATGTCATTAAATTCATTGTTTTTTCTTATATGGGAAGAGTGGGGGGCACCTGATATCTGAAGAAATGATTTTGAGTTTGAAACTTGAAATTTCCTGTATTTTTTCCTTTCTTTTCTGCAGCTGAAAGTTGAGAGTAGGTTTTTATTTTTCTGATATATTTCCTGGCACTGGGTGGTGAGACTGAGTTGCTCAACTCATCATATTTTGTTCTATAAACTTATAATTGTATGGTGGAAAATTGCTTGGTTGGCTAGCAGTGAATACATATGGATAGTGATTTAAGAAATAATAAAGCAAAGGAATGTGGATTTTATTTTCACATACAGGCATTAGATACATTATTGATTTTGGTTGGAAAAATAATTGGAAAAGTCCGATGAGGTTTGTCCAAGCAGGTTGCTCATTCAATAATTTGATTAAAGGAAGACTGATTTTATATATTTGGTTATATGTGTTCTTCGGCTGGATTCTTCTTCATGTAATCCGAGTTGTTGATGGGTTCAGAATGTAAAGTGAAAATCATCAGCTTTCTATAACTTTAAACGTCCAAAATTGACGAGACTAGGGGAGTTGCTTGAATCGAAATAAATTAGTATTATGATGTTATAAATAATTATATTTAAACTTAAACAATTAAATAAATATATGTGATTCAATTTAAATTTTTAAATAAAATTTGAATAATAAAGTGTTATTCATTAATTCAGTTTAATTTTTTTCATTTGATTTGACTTAATCGAATATTCAGTCTTAACTGGGTTAATATTATTACCAAAGCACAATTTAAAAACTTTTCTTACGAAGATAAATCTTAAATTTATTAACTATGATCTGACAAGGTTATATTATTCAATTTTTATTTTATATAAAAACAATAATTTTGACCCGATCCCATACTTTAAAATATAGCATAAATTACACTACATATTATCAAACTTTAAGCGTTGATTCCTTTATATTATCGAACTTTTAATTTTGTCAATTTTAACAGTAGTGTTATGTTTTATGCCACTTTGCCGCTAACGACTTAACGAGACAATGATATGGCAGCTAGATGTCGTGACGGTTAGGACGTAGAAACTATTTTCTACGTAATATTGCATTTTAAAAGTTCGTATGATATTAAAATACATCAAAACGATGTAGTACTATGAGGTATTCCACTGTCGTGCATCATGTCGTTCTTTAGCTTTCTATTTTGCCCATGAGAGAAAGGAGAGAAGGTATAATCTTTCACCGGGGAACATGGGGCAGCCTTTTGTGGGTGAAACAATCGGTTAGTTGAGTCCTTACTCTGCTACATCGGTTGGTGAATTCATGCACAAGCATATATCGAGGTAAGCTTTGAGTTTCAACTTTCAACCCTTTGTTTATCTGTTTATATGGCATTCCTTCATTTCATGGGTGGCGAGGTTGAAGCCCACAACTACAGTTACAATCGACAAAGGGTGGGTAAGTATCTCCGTCTTGTGCCTTGCATTATGCAAATTTACAGCCCTATTTCCTCCCTCCACTTTCCACTGCAACACCTTACTCTGCTACATCGGTTGGTGAATTCATGCACAAGCATATATCGAGGTAAGCTTTGAGTTTCAACTTTCAACCCTTTGTTTATCTGTTTATATGGCATTCCTTCATTTCATGGGTGGCGAGGTTGAAGCACACAACTACAGTTACAATCGACAAAGGGTGGGTAAGTATCTCCGTCTTGTGCCTTGCATTATGCAAATTTACAGCCCTATTTCCTCCCTCCACTTTCCACTGCAACACCTTGGCTCTTGTTGTTATTATTCAACTCCCTGTTACTTCTCTTCAATTCTCTGGATTCCACGAAGACCATGGATTCCCTATCAACTCCTACTCCTTCTCCTACTGTCGCCAATGCTGCCATGTCACCGAGGGCATCACCGTGGTTATGTCGAAGAAGCGAAGATGATGAACGAGAGAGTCACTGGTTGGAAAATATCGTCGCCTCCAGCTCCGAGGAGCATCACCGTTGTTATGATCTTGAAGAATATCCAGTAAAGCAAATTCATGGAGATGAAAAATCCAAAGCGAATCATAAAAAAACAAAAAGAGAAGAGAATTAGAGCGAAGAAACTGTTCCAATAAAAACAGTGAAGCACCTAAGTGTAAGAGAAAGTAGATTCATCCATTGATTTAAATGAACCCACAATTAAAGCGATGAACAGTGTGTTTCTGAGCTAATGGAAGAACTACAGGCTCAGTTTAAGAAAGCTTCAGCGGTTTCACGGTGGAGTCATCGCTAGCTTAGATTATTTAACTTAAAAATGCAATATTACGTGGAAAACGGTTTCCACGTCATCACCGTCAAGATATCTAACTGTCATATTATCGTCCCGTCAAATTATTAATAATGGAATAATATAATTAAACGTAAAAACATAATTTAGTGATAAAACTAATAAAATTAAAAGTTTAATAATATAAATAAGTCAATGCTCAAAGTGGATGGTATCTGTTATAATTTATCCTAAAATATATATTGAATTATTTATTTTAATGTATATGATAAAGTTATTTTGGGAGGAGACACCGACTCGTAGGGTATATTCGAGACATGATTAGTATGCCAAGTGGCATATTCAGTAGGAACCTTGCAGAACTCGAAGACCGTTAGTTGTTTTGGTTTGAGTTTGACAAACGAATACGATATATCCCATTGCCCGTTGCCTCTAATTTTAGTTCATTTCAAGCAAAGCAAGCCCCTTTGTTTCAAAGGATCCGTCAAGGTCGCCGCCTACTCCGCTCATCTTCATTCTCATATTCCATTCCCAATATCCACTTTGGGATTTGCCCATTTGTTCTCTTCTTTCTGAATTTTGGGCCTTTAATCTTTTCTTTTTCTTTCTTGTTCCATCATTAAAGGTTTCAGTATAGCAGCAGTTTGATTAGAAAGGAAAGAATATTGAGGAGCAGGGACACATAATTCTCTTCATCAATGTCTTCTTCCTGTGTTTTCACAAATTACCCTCTTATTTCTGCTTTTATTGCCTTTGCTATTGCCCAATCTATCAAGTTCTTCACCTCCTGGTATCTCCAAATCTCCATTGTTTTAGCTTCCATGAATCTTAAATAGTTGTCTTGTTTCTGTTATGCTTTTTTTTTTATAAAAAAAATATGAGAATCATTTCACTGCATGTTTAATAAGTGAAAATTTTCCTGTTAATTATCTTTCAATCAACTTGTTTTCATCATTGAGGGAATAAAAGGTGCCTGAGATAATAGCTGGTTGATAGAAGTGAGTATTCAATCTCAAGTCTAAGTAAAAAAAAAAAAAAATTGAAGATAGTCGAGTTATTCGAATTTTTATTGAATATTAATAGTAAATATTTATAATATTTTATTACTAATTAATTCTAATTTAAATGGATTTCTATAACTACATATGTATATATATATATATATATATATTCAAATTTGTGTTATACTCGTATATCATGCAAAGTTCAGAAATAAACTTGAAAATCAATCCACTAATTATTGGTTGAGTCCAATTTTGGCCACCCCTACTGGTTGATTAGTGATTACAATTAGACATTATCTTCTCGAGTCCTGGGGGGTCTTTGATTATTCAAGTTGTAGTTCTGGTCAGCTCTAGCTTGATTCAATTCCTGTTTTGAAATGATAGCATATTTTAGTTTTAATGCCTCCATTTACATTCTTTTCATCAGCCAGGGGCTTGATTTTCGTTACGAGACGGGGAAGAAAATCTTATGTAAACCGAACCATTTTGCAGGTACAAGGAAAAGCGATGGGATATATATTCAAATTTGTGTTATACTCGTATATCATGCAAAGTTCAGAAATAAACTTGAAAATCAATCCACTAATTATTGGTTGAGTCCAATTTTGGCCACCCCTACTGGTTGATTAGTGATTACAATTAGACATTATCTTCTCGAGTCCTGGGGGGTCTTTGATTATTCAAGTTGTAGTTCTGGTCAGCTCTAGCTTGATTCAATTCCTGTTTTGAAATGATAGCATATTTTAGTTTTAATGCCTCCATTTACATTCTTTTCATCAGCCAGGGGCTTGATTTTCGTTACGAGACGGGGAAGAAAATCTTATGTAAACCGAACCATTTTGCAGGTACAAGGAAAAGCGATGGGATATCAGCCAACTTGTGGGATCCGGTGGGATGCCTTCGTCCCATTCTTCGACGGTCACTGCTCTTGCCACTGCTATCGGATTCCAAGACGGTTTTGGAGGATCACTATTTGCGACCGCATCGATCTTAGCATGCATCGTATGATCCTTTGTTTCTTGTTTTATGGTTGCCTTATAAACAACATCGAATGGAAGTCCGGCATTGCTTTCTTTGTCCCTGCTGGTGCTAATCTTGGTTTTCTCCTAATTTCGATTTCTAGTACCCAAGTAAAATGTAATATGGCTAATAAACTTGCTATCGAAGAAAGGGTTTGCCGTGTCACCGATACCGCCTGCTTCGTAAATTTAGTTTTGATGGGATGGATTTGATTTGCAGGTAATATTTGATGCAACCGGTGTGAGATTGCATGCTGGACGGCAAGCAGAGGTTTGATTCTGAGTAATTGCATGTTATAGAAGCTTTAGTTATAAACTGCATTCTGTCATTACGAAATAGGATGCATGATCAGTTGGTTTAAACCTGATTTCTTTCATGTATCCATTGACAAATTGTATGTCCTTCAGGTCCTGAATCAAATCGTTTATGAATTGCCTGCTGAACATCCTCTGGCCGAGACCAGGCCGTTACGTGAACTTCTTGGTCACACACCTCCCCAGGTACGTTTTCATGGCAGATTACTTGATCCACACTTTTGTTCTTGAACATCCTTTAGTTAAGCTTCTCAGATGTTGTAGTCCAAAGCGTTTATGTTTTTTTCTTATTTTCTGAGCAATAGATGTTTCAAATGTTGTAACTAATGGATACAGAAATCTGGGTTATTTTTTAACACCGATGCTGATATACATATGGATTCGAAACTGAAATAATCTCCGGTATTGCTTGTGGTAACATCGGGTGCCACGAGCAACTTCATCTGAGATAACCACTTATAATTTTCAACCTTGCATCTAAATTACAGGTTTTTGCTGGTGGAGTGCTTGGTATTATAACATCTGCTGCTGGCTATTTTATTTTCCAGGCAGCCTAGTAGAAGTTGATGCCTCATATTGCTCATAGATATCATTCTACAATAGCTTCGATGTTTGAACTTCGGCTACCATGAAGACGGGCTGCGACCAGCAGACCTTCGCCCTCAATGGAGAGATGTTTATAAAATCATGTTTTTTCCTTTGGAGTTTCAATTCATTTAGTCAGTAGCATAAGTTTGAAATGATTTGTGTGGTGTAATGATGATAGTTTGATACATCTTGTTCAATCTGATCAAATGTAAATTGTTTCTGCTATAATATGTATATCAGTTCTAGGGTTTTTTTACTGGAATATCAAACTTATTTGTTTGATTTGAGACCTGTGGTTTAGTCCTAAATGGTGAGCAATGGTAGTTCTTCACCATGTGCTCATCCGGCCTGACTAGAATCACTACTTGCTCCGTCGTCTGACAAGTTCTCCACAGTGACAACAAATCCGATGATGTTCTAACTTCTATAACATCCAGGTAGTTCTTCCGAGGTGCTCCCAGGCCGAAATCCGGTAACAGATTCGGCTGGCCAAAGCTAATATACCTTGGCAGAACCTTTAGATTCTTCAGAAGCCTTAAAGGAAGCTTGAACATGATCATGCTTCAAATTGGTACATAGTGAATATAAGTTGTCGTAACCGGTTTTCGTCCGGGCACAAAATATTTATTTGGCGGGAAAAGTAATGTGAATAAATGGTTTTTAAAATAATTTGGGAGTCTCCATCGGCCTTTTAGGTCAGGTAGGTCGAATACCTAAAAATCATCCTTTAAAAGAGTTTTTAAGAAAACATCGATTAAAAGATAAACTGATCTACGTTTTAACCAAAAATTCGTTCTTTTTAATAATAAAAAGGGATTCGTGGTCGGTTACATTTAGGGAAGGATTAGCACCCCTACAACGCCCAAAATTGGTACTTTTCAATTATAAATTGTCTCTATTATTAGAAATTTAAAAATTTAAAATATATTTAATTTATAATCCTATTATTTTAAAATTATAATTATGATTTTAAGTAAATTTATTAATTTATATAAATTTATAAATAAAATATTTATTTATTTAAAAATATCAGAAAATGACTTCTAGGTGCCTTAAGACAGCTCTTTTCTTCGATATTAAAAAATAAATAAATAATTAAAACAATTAATATATAATTTATAAAATATGATTTTTATTTATTTAAAAATATCAGAAAATGGACATCCAGTTATTTTAAGACTGTCCTTTCTTAATATTGAAAAATAAATAAATATTAAAACATGATTAAAATAAGTTAAAAGTAATTAAATAAGATTTTAATAAATAAAATAAATATTATAAATATATATATTTATGGCTAAATAATAATAATAATAGTAATAATAATTAAAAGTAAACATATAAAATTAACATATAATGAACAAAATTAAAACTATATATTTAAAATAAATAAAACTTGTAAAAATAAATAAAAATTAAAATTAGTGACTAAATTATAACCTAATAGAATTAAATACCTAATTCATGATTAATTATTTAAAAATATAGTGGCTAAACATACTATATTACCTATTTATTAATGTAGTGACTAAAATAAACATATATTGAATTCAAATATTAAATTAAAACAAATTAAAACATGCTGTTTGTGATTAAAATAATAATTACTAAACTATAAGGGACTAAATTCAGTATTCATCCTAAATATATAATTATACTGGACATGACTGAAATAAAATAAAATAAACTTCGAAGACTAAATTATAATAGGCAAAAATTACTTTCAGTGACTAAATTGCAAGGTATACAAACTTGGAGCACTACGAACGGGGTTTACCCTTTATGAAATTACATAAACACCCTCCCCTAAAACGGCATCGTTTGGGAGAAGGTATTTAAATACCCTAAACGGCTGGCCCTTCGGGCCAGCATCCTCATTTCTTCTTTCTCTCTTCTCTCTCTAACTGAGAGAGAATTTTTAACTCTCTCGCCTCTCTCTAAAACTGAGAGAGAGACCACCGCCCGGCAGCCGTGCTCCGGCGTCGGCAACCACCGCTGCCGGTGGCCGGAAAATTTCAAAATTCCCAAAATAAAGATCAGAACGTCCTAAAGACGAATCCGATGTCCTTTTTCTCTAAAAAGCCTTGTAGTTACCTAGATCTACAGAAATACTCTCGGTATTTCAATTTCTTTTGCGGCGTGTGGAGGTTCTGACGACGGCGTAGCTTCCTCGGTGGTAAGTTTTCTCCCTCTATTCTCTCTTTGCTTTTTGATTTGTTGCTATGGGTTTTGTTTGGCTTGCTGTTGTGGTCTGTTCAGGTTCTTGCTATCGTTTCTGTTATCTCCGGTTCTTCCTCTCTGTTTTTTTTTATTTTGCAGGTGTGGTGGCTTTTATAGCCACCACCGAGGCTTTCGTCGGACCGGTTCCTTAGGAAGCTTTCGGTGAGTTACCATAACTATGGTGGTGACTCACCATAGGCAACAACATGGATGATCAGAGTCGTGGCAGCAGAGCTTCTAGAGGCTTCGGCGGCGAGGTGACGTGGCACTGGAGTGTCGGCAGCTGGACGTTGGACCACCTGGCAGAGGCGACGGCTGGCCTTCTGGAATCTTGGAGGCGGCTGGGGTGCTAGGGTTTAGAAACTCTAGCTAAAACCCTAAATTGGTTTAGGGTTTTAGCTGGGCCATCTGGTTGGGCTTCCAGATTTGTAATTGGGCCCCGATTTTAGCCTGTTTGTAATAATAATTTTAATAATAATAATAATAAATAAAATAATAATAATATTATCAATAATAAAAAAAATGGGTAAAAAATTAGTATCTTCAGCTGCCCCTCTTTGCTCATTCTTGTGTTAACAAGAATAGAGCAAATACGAAAAGATAATAAATTTTTTATCCATTTGAGTTCACTTGATTATGATGGCAATGTTGAATAATTTCTTCTTTGGGATTAGTTCTTCTAATTATGAACTTTTTCACTGGGGATGAAAATTTATCTCCTTCTGTGATGTAATCTAGCGAATGTTGAACAAGCTCTTCTCATTGTGAACTTCTTATTCTTCAGATGAGTTCTTCTCATTATGAACTCCTTCTGGAAATGCTGATGATGATATATCTCCTTCTGTGATAGAGTCATGCAAAAGGTCGAACAAGCTCTTTTTATTATGAACTTCTTCTTCCTTCTTCAGATGAGTTCTTCTCATTATGAACTTTCTCTGGAAAAGTTGATCCATCGAGTGATGAATTCAAACTAAAAGTTAAACAAATTCTTCTCATTATGAATTTCTTCTTCCTTCTTCAGACGAGTTCTTCTCATTATGAACTCTACCTGGCAATGTTAATCCATCAAATGATGAATTCAAACAAAAGGTTGAACAAATTCTTCTCATTATGAACTTCTTCTTCCTTCTTCAGATGAGTTCTTCTCATTATGAACTATCTCTGGAAAAGCTGATCCATCGAGTGATGGATTTGAGCAAAAGGTTGAACAAGCTCTTCTCATTATGAACTTCTTCTTCTTTCTTCAGATGAGTTCTTCTCATTATGAACTTTCTCTGGAAAAGCTGATCCATCAAGTGATGGATTTGAGCAAAATGTTGAACAAGCTCTTCTCATTATGAACTTCTTCTTCCTTCTTCAGATGAGTTCTTCTCATTATGAACTTTCTCTGGAAAAGCTGATCCATCGAGTGATGGATTTGAGCAAAAGGTTGAACAAACTCTTCTCATTATGAACTTCTTCTTCATTCTTCAGAAGAGTTCTTCTCATTATGAACTTTCTCTGGAAAAGCTGATCCATCGAGTGATGGATTTGAGCAAAAGGTTGAACAAGCTCTTCTCATTATGAATTTCTTCTTCCTTCTTCATATGAGTTCTTCTCATTATGAACCTTTCTGGAAATGTTTTAAGAAAAAAAAAGATTCTGCACTGTAGGGCTTACAGCTGACCTGAAGGTTTTAAAAACATCAAAAAGCTCCTGAAGGCTTTTTGGAAACATCATGCACTGTAGGACTTACAGATGTGAGAAATAGTTTACTAAGTAAGAAACTATGAAAATCGTTTTCTCATTATTTTTCAAAATAACATGTTGATTGGGTAACATGCCCCAATCTCAAGATAATGCTCATTCTTGTGGATTGCGTCCATCTTTCTTTCAGATGTTTGCATGATTCCTGCATTTGAGATTTTGAATTCTATCTTCTTCTTGTAAGGTATTTTCTATCATGAATCTTCTTTTTCATACGAAAATCTGAAAAAACCTTATGCTTGAATGCAATCAAATGTATCAATGTAATGCATTGTCTATTGTGCAAATGATGTTCTTATGAATGGATAAATGTTGATGGAATCTTCATTTGACTTTTAAAGTGGTGAACTCGGTCTTTCTTCACCTCATCATTTATTTTCAGGGTTACCTCTGGAGTGTAGCAACTTATGCTATCAAGCTTTCATTTCTGAAGAATTATCTGATCAATCTGCATACTTGTATCTTCGTCTCTTCTTTGCTTCATGAAAGTCTCAGAAGAAATGTTTCATTTATGGAACTCTTGCCGTAGTCAGAATTATGACTTTGATGCCCCATTTTGTCTTGGATAAAACCAATTGCTTGGACTTGTGCAAAAATCCAATAAAACTTTCATCTTCGAAAAGAGAATCTATCATCTTTAAAAAGAGAATTTATCATCTTTGAAGAGAGAATCTATCATCTTTGAAGAGTGTAGATGTAGATATGCCTGACTCATCAGAGATTAATTAGATATTGAATAAGGCAACTTGGACCATATCATGTCGAGATGTTTAACAACATCCTGTCGTTCAACATTAGTTGGCTCCATTAATTTCTTGTTGTTAAAATTTTTGCTTCCCTTTAATGGAAAGAAATATTCATCATGTCTCACTGCTAACCTTGGGGTTGAAGAAAACAAACTTCATCTTGGATCCATAAATGGAAATACCATATGATTGCAACATTGGTTCAGTACCAGAATAACTGGTTCGTAAAACATTTGACAACACATTCATCATTTCATGTGGTTTCTGCTCAGATGTTTGTAAAGTATTTGACAAACATTCATCATTTCTTGTGACTTCTGCACAGATTTCTGGTCAGTGAAGCTCTTTGCACAGTGTTCAAAG